CTATTTTCTCCTTTCCATTAGTCTCTAAGGAAGGATGTAAAATGAGAGAATAACTGCGTGGAATTGTGAAGTTATATGTTTCAAATAGTCTTATTCCAAGGTTATTTAGCCTGAAAGCCACTGTTTATGCACAACCTAATTTCTGTTTCAAATAGAGGGGTAATATATTACACGTCTGCAGATCATTTCTAAGATCTAAGACAATATAAGGCATTGAAGCTGCCCAAGGTGAGAATGCCAGGATTGTATTTTGTTCCTTCCCAGCCATGGCTTGACATTTTTGTTTGCAGCATTCTTTGTTCACAAATAATGATGAGTCCAGCAAAAGCTCAGAGCAATGTTTGCCTCATGGTTTGGGATCCTGAAAGTATGGACTTGCTTTATTTCACACTATATAAATTGTTGCTGAACTGATCTGAAATTGGAGGGAAATGTACCTGGAACTGGTGTGCTATTTACAGGAACATATGCATTAAATTACTGTAAATACAACTTTCTGACTCATCAGTAAGCTATTTGGGTTACTCTGCTTTTGGGAGCCATCCAGGTATAATCAAATTAAAGCATCTCATTACTTCGTATTCCACAGTCAAGCCAGAATTTAAGTACATTGGCAATATGCATGGAAATGAAGTTGTGGGGAAAGAACTGCTAATATACCTTGCACAGTACCTGTGTTCGGAGTATCTTCTCGGGAACCCTCGCATCCAGACCTTGATTAATAATACCAGAATTCACCTTCTACCTTCACTCAACCCTGATGGCTATGAACTGGCTGCAGAAGAGGTAAAAGACTTTTTATAAGGAATGTTCAGGACTTCATTTTTCCAAAATTCTCCATGGGAAGGGACAAACTGGGAGGGGAGTGTCACATATGGCAGGGAGGGTTAATAATCGGCAGCCAGAGTCCCAGGTTGCATTCCAAAGATGATATGAACAGAGCTAAGAGGAAATCAGAGCCATGTTTGTAATTTTTGCTGCCTGCACACAATGACGTGGGAATGACTGTGTTACTTTTTCACACATTTAGCACACTATGCTGTCAGTTCTAGAACAAAATGCCCACTGACTCACTGTAAAGACATTAATTATTTTATAATAAAATGTAGTTTAATACTGTGGAATAGATATCCTTCTTCTTTTAGATGAGCAGGTATAGTAAAATGTGAATATTTTGTGTACTGTCACGCTTCCATAATAGATGACAGTTTTCAGAGATTGGCTGGTGTCTGAAGGAGACCTGGTGAAAGCAAAACTTCTATTATATGTTACCTGACATTCTTCTCCTTTTCACCTCACTTTTATCACTAGCACCATTAACATGAAAATATGACCTTTCTTTTTCCACATTGTTCATGTGGTGAACTCTGTTGTATGACTCCGGGGTTATTGCATTCTGCCTGATCTTGTCTTGGAGCATCAGCTATATTTTTCTCCTTCTCTAACCCACTCTGCATGCTGCTCTGTGCTCAGTGAGGAGCTGCTGTCTTCTCATGAGTCACATCGCTGGTGAGTGAAATGTTTCCTGCATGCTAGTTAGAGCGTTAGTGTTCCTGGGGATAAAAATGATTAATAAGTGTTAATTTTTAACAGTATGGACATTTTAAGTTTACTTATTTTAAAATGTCCCCTTGATTAAAATGGCATTTTAAACAATTTTTCACAAAGTAGTATTTTGAGACAGGAAGCTATTCTGAAGTTGGCTTCTATGTTACAAATTAGGGAGCTGGTTACAATGGATGGGTCATTGGACGACAGACAGCTCAGAACTTGGACTTGAACAGAAATTTCCCTGATTTGACGTCTGAGGCTTACAGAAGAGCTGGAATTCGTGGGGCCCGCCTTGACCACATCCCCATTCCACAATCCTACTGGTGGGGTAAGGTATGAATTACAGATTTTATGAATCGCATATACTACAGAGAAACTCGGGATTTAAGAAACTGAGATTGCTTGGTCTGAAGTTACTCTCTGCTCATCAGATTTTCTAAGTGGGACTGAACATGTTAGGCTCAGAATTGGCATGAAAATCATGGTGTAGGTCTGGCCAAAGAGGCAGGTGTCACAAAACATTGCAAAAATTTGCTGATAATTTGGATTTTGCTATTTTAGATTAAGAATAATGATTGTTATACAAGGGTCATGAGTGTGTAATGATTCATCATTAGTGATTTAAACTGGGGTAGCATGTTAAAGCCTTTATGGACTTGGCTCTCATTGCGCTGAGCTCTGCACCAATTTGATGCAATAGTGGTTTCTGCCTTGGAAAACACACAAAGGCTTCATGAGAAGTTGTGTGTCACGATCTTTTCATAAAAATAATGGTTATAAATGACTGTAACTAGCCAGAGCAATGGAAACAACCTGTCAGGCTGCAGTCGTGCTGGAAGGGAGAGCTGTTGCTGCCTCTAGTCCTGGGAGCAGGATGGGAGCAGCACTGAGGGGCCTCACAGTCATCATCACTAAGCTTTGTGTCATGTGATGTCCAGGAATGCAAAGCTCAGTCCTGTCTGTGTCACTGGCAGCCTGGCAGCCCCTGACACCAGCAACTTGCATGGGAACTTTGCTTATCTTAAAAGAAGAAACACAGGAAGCCAAATTTCTTCTGCTTGTAAACTCATTTTATCCTATTCAATTTTTATTGCTAGCACACAATCTCAGAGGGGTGGGGAACAGGGGTGAATTAGCAGAAAATTTGAGAGACCATACTTCAGTTTTCTGCTGCAGGTGATCTTGTATGAGGCCAGGTTTAAATCCCAAAGGCATCTCTGATGCTGCCCCAGTGTTTTGGAGCCCCATTTCACAGTAGTGAAATCTGGATAAAAGCATCTCACTTTCTCAGGATAATGTGCATATGAAGGTGCAAGGCTGTGAAAAGCTCAGTAATGCACAGTGTCCTAGACCCCTGATTTTTGACATAACTAAACCCAAGCAGTTTATTCTATTTTGTGTATGTAATCGCACAGATCCCAGGTCATGTCACTAGGTTTCTACGTGAGTATAAGGTCACAGGCTTAATAGTTTCCAATTTTTGACTGAATAATGAGAGATAATAGTGTGTTGGCAAATGCAAGTAGATTGCAGAGCCTCAGGTGGAAAAGAAAAGTTGAGAACATGTGTAGCAGAGCCTGAGGTCAAATGAAAACATCTGAAAAAGGAGGGGATTTTAGGAGAAAAGTCTAGAGAGAATAGTTTTGGTTCACCCCATTTGTTCACAATAGTTTTCCTGGCTGTACATCTAAGAACCACATGTAGCTATCAAACTGAAAGTTTTCTTCAACAAATGAATGGTGTATGATCAAATGTGAAGACTCTCAGGAGCAGGGTTAGGCCCAGCTTTGCAGACACCTGGTGTGAAACTGCGTAGTTTGCAGAGGGGACCTGAGTACTGCAGGTGTGAGCTCTGAGCTGGCTGCACTATGCATTTCACTTGGTTTCCCAGCGGGTTTGCTTTCCCAAGTAGGATTGAAGCTTGGACCCATCCCTGTTCTCTTTTTAAGAAACTCTCTTCCTCATTCTCTAAAGCTGTGACTTCAGCTGGAGATGTCTGTGTTTCACAGCAAATCTCTGAACACAGCTCACTTCAGTATCTGTCATCCTGTTCCCATAGAGCAATCCAAGATTATTCAGTTAGTCAGGAACCTGCCAGCTTTTGTAACATAAAATAATGTTTACTCAGAAGAACATGCTAAATCAAAAATATATGATAAAGCAACAGTCACTACAAACATATATATATATGTTTCTAGCTTACTGGGAGTCACTGTGCTATTTCAGATGCTCCTGCAGCGCCCATCTCTCCTGGTCACAGCTTCTCACTGGCTTCCTGATTCAAGCATTGTCTTGCTCTCAACCTATAAAGGTTGGCAGCTCCGTGCAATTGCAGGTCTGTTATCTACCAGGCTTTTTGACCTACATCAATGTGCATTTCTGGGGGAGAGGCTTACAAGGAAATGTTCCCCATTGTTCAGAACGTGAGTTCACAACACTTCTTGCCAAGGCTGCGTAGCTCAGCCACTGAGCACTGCCACCAGGTTGTCCATAAAGATATGGCTGATCAGTGAAATAGTGTCTGTAACATCTCACTTACCAGACAGAGTCCTTTTTTTGCATGGCCCTTTGCAGTAGTGAGGGTGCCAGTCTCTTGGGATCTCTTTCATGGGCTGTATCATCCCCCGAGCTATGTGCAGGCAGGCTACAGGAGTGCATGGCATGCCTAAAAGTCACTGAAAATGCCTTTGGTTTTCTGTGGAGGTATGCAGGAAATCTGCTTTTGCCCTTTCAGACAGGACATAGTGGCTGTGCAGACTTTGAAGTATGAAGGAAGGGATGAAGATCTCCCTCCAGCCATATACCCACTCTCTGCAACCAGAGGTGCAGTGTTGAAGGCCCAAGCACCACTGAGGAAGGACAAACATGGCTTTGGCCCCTCTTTGTGCCAGTAGCTGATGCAAGCTGTGAGCTTGTCCCACACTGTGCAGCCCAGAGACCCCATAATTCTCTAGATTTCCTGGCTCTAACCTCCCTGCTCCCTCCTCCAAATCCTGCTTCTGCCTCAGTTCTTCTGATGGTCTTTGGGATGGTCAGTGATAGGCAGCCACTTGCAGAAGTCATTTTTACAGCCATGTGTTTAGCTATCTTAGGCGTTGTGCAACATCATAGCAGTTTATAGAGGGCTGGATGGAGACAGCCTAACATTTCTCCTACAGTTACCCCACTGCCGTGGCTTGTTCATCCCACATACAGCATGCCAGTCATGCCAGGGTGTCTGTCACCACAGGCAAGGGATCAGGAAGGTTAGCACATAACCACTCTCTATCTGAGCTCTGCCACTGTGGATGCAGGCCCTGGGGTATAAATATTTCCCTACTCCTGCAAAATTTTTCTTGTTTCTGAAGAAGAAATTGAAATAAGGTGATGGTCTGACACCAAAAGCATCTGCAAATCTGTGTGCTTTGCAGAACAAATGAGGGAACCAATTTGCCTGTGACCTGGATGGCACTACAAAATCTCCTTGACGACTGCATTTTCACATGGTTCAGAAACCTGGCAGTCCATGGTCTCACAGCCTCGAGTCCCTCTCCTCTGACAGTGGTATCACAGGACAGCCAAATCAGCTCTCCCATAATGAGCTTCAATTTTGTCAGGCAGATGAAACCATGGCTCTTACAGTACTTGGCTTTGTGCGTGCAAAAGCATTAGATTGGATGTTTCAACACCAGCCTCTCAGCTTCCATTTACTTAATAGTGTTTATTACCTGCCTTATTAAAGTAATTATCTGAATATTGCAGGGCATTGTATAAAGATCAGAAAAAGGAAAGCAAGCTCCCAGCCAATCCCATAAACTCAGGAGAGCTCCTGCCTCCCCGTAACCCTTGCTGTACAGAGCATTTTGTTCCCTGCTATTATGAATTATTGTAATAAGTGGTCTGAGGGCTTCAGACTGAGAGACTTCAGGCTTCATCTGTAATCAGTCAGTTAAATCAGCTTGATTCAAACAGAATTTGTAGGTTTGTGCCAGTGGAGGCTGGCATAGTCTTTAGGAAAACAAGTCTGGTTGCTTCTAAAAAGGAAAAAAAAGAAATTTTTTAAAGCCATGGAGGCAGTGACTAATTGCAATATAACTGCAGAAATGAGATTTAGGTTTAAAAAGGGTAATGACCATTCCCTGTACTTATGCAGAAATATTTTAGCTATTTCCTAATTCTACTCCAGATTGTTCTTGTGAGATGTATATTTTAAAATTGATCTCCTCTCACTAAAAAGCAAGAGCCCTGGTGGAAAAAAAAAAAAATCAAAATCCACATTAAAGGAAAGGTCTGAGAATGGTCAGAGTGACACAGATAGCATCTAATATCATCCGGTGGAGCTAAACTAGGATGTGCACATTTCAAAGCCTTAATCACTGTACATGATGTCACTGAAATGCTATTAGGATAAAAATAGTGACATTGAAACTCCTGCTTTTCCACAATGTTCACTTCAAAAAGACATTGGCTCTGTGACACAACAGTGTCTTTTTGGGTTGTACAGGTATATACTGAGTGAGTTGATTAATCAGTGGGAGGGACTGAATTTAGAAGCTCTCTGAGCAAAACTGTGCGTTTCACCCTTGCCCATTGAATTGCAGAAGCAACTTAAAAATCTTCTTATTAGAGCCCTGAGACTCCTGTTTGAAAGCAGGGCTGATTCTGGGGTCAGGCTTGCCCTGCCTGGCTGGGCAGCGGGAGCTGGGGCAGCTGCAGGAAGCTGTTGGGAGTTTAGGGCAGCATCCTTCTGGGGAGTGCTCGTGCTGCGGGGCCTTGTTACCAGCTTCTCAGCCACCCCATGAACGCCCAGGCGGGGGCCCATGGGACAGGCAGTGGTGCTTCCAGACCCTTGCAAGTCACCTGTGTCTTCTGCTCTTTGAAGAGATGGGCTCAAAGGATGAACAAAGTACTTTCAGGGTTCAGCTGAGCGTGGCTGGTTCAGTCCCAAATTCCCTTGAGATAAAGATCATTATTAAACCATCCCCGAGCACTGTGCAAAGATCAGAAAAGCAAATGCTTAGACTGCTGCAGGTAGTGCTCTTCCAACACTGCCAGGTTCCTTGTCATGAAGCCTGGTGGTCTGTTTTCTTCTCCCACCTCTGTGTTATGTGAGTGGGTGTGTGAGACTGTAAGAGGAGCAGAACATTTGTCCTTTCCTTCTAGAATGCCCTGTATCTGCCCTCTTTAAAAATGTTTTTTAGGTCATGCCCTTCCTGGAAACTAATCTGTGTCTAATCTTCCCAATTACACAAAAAGCCTTGGTTGGGTTTCTGGTGTACAAAGTGCATTCAGTGTGTTCCTGAGTTGGTCAGACTCTACCTGTTACATCTCATCTTACATTTAAGTTGCCTCTTTGTAATACCGAGGTTGAAAGGGTTGGAACACAGAGATGCAGAGGCTGCCACTAGGTTGATAGATAAAATGGACCTGGAGAGTTTCTCCTGGGGACAAGTGGCACAATCTGACTTGTGTCCATATGTTAACTGCAAACTACTGATTTAATGGTTCATCTGATAGCAGTGGGAACCCTCAGGTTCCTGTTTTTTCCTAAGTACAAGGTACAACCTTTTCAAATAGCACAGCTGCGGTGGCTGGAGACACTAGTTCAGCTCAGTGATTACAGAATATTGTTTTAAGGAAACCTGAAAACTAGGAGGATGTCAATTATTTGGCATTATTAACTCAATTAATAATTGGCATCTGAAGGATGGTAGCCTCCTGCTTGGCTCAGGTATGGGCAGGATGACATCTTCCTAAATCATTCCAGGTAAAGCTGTGCTTATGCATGGCTTTTTCCTGAGACCTTTTGCTTTCTACGTTATTGCTGGGCATTATAATTCATCCATGGTGCACCTTTACTTCAGTGTTTTTCTCTGCTCCACACCTAAGTTTGTGCCACGCTCTGCATCCCCAAAGCTATGATTTCTAGCAGAATAGGGACCGATCCAAAGAAAAGAGGAAATACTATTATTGCAACCCTGACGTATAGGCCTTTATAGGTTGGTTGGTTTGGTTTGTGTGTTTTTCCTATACATTGGTGATGATACGCTGTCATTAGCCACAGTGGGATCCGGGCTGGATGATTTTCATGCTGATGGCATCAAAGCAAAAGGTGATATGCAAAATTAGCAGCCCTATATAGATGCTGTACTAAGTCTGTCATAACAGATCTTGTTCATTTTTTTAAAGCCCTGCATATCTGTACCTGTGCAAGGCAGAGTCCGGGTTAGCAGCCTCTGCCCTCACCCTCTTTGCCCCGGGAAGCGTCACAAGCTGCAGGGAAGAGCAGCCTCCTCTCCTCCGAGGGCACCGGCGTGTGTCTGGCCTTGCAGGGACTGGCCGCCAGGTGACACTCTTCCCCCGGAGCACCACCCCACGCCGGAGCCCGGCTGCGAAATCCCTCTCCAGGAAGGGGGGATGCCGGAGGCCATGGGTGCCTGAGCATCCCACTCCTCGGCAGCTGTTGCTGAGCAAGGGCTGTCAGAAAGACAAATTTTGTGACTTACCCGCAGCAGTTCTGACTGAACTGCAGTCAGTGTGGTGCTTTATATACATTAGTTTTCATTTATTTGCAGATGGACCTGGACCAAACGACAGCAAATGAGACACTGTATTTCCAACAAGTGCTGAGAATTACAAATTGATCCCTGTATTCCAATTTATCCATCCAAAGTCAATCCTGCTGATTCACAAATTAAATTAGATAAGGAGTCTGGTTTGTACATAGTGGTACAACGCCACGATTTTTCAAGTCTTAAATGCTGCCGCCACCACTTTGAGCTGCTGAAATGTCACTGCAATAAAAAGTTATTTTTCTGTCAAAGATTCTCTTCCTTTTTTGGTGTGGTGTTTGTTGTTGGTGTTTTGTGGGTTTTTGTTTTTCGTTTGTGGGTTGGGTTTTTTTGTTTTGTTTTGTTTTTGTTGTGTGTTGTTGTGGATGTTTTGGGTTGGGTGTTTGTGGGTTGTTTTTTTTTTTTTCCCCCTGGAGCAAACTGATGCTCTTCCTCCATCAGCCTTTGGGATGAAAGAGCCAAAGAACCTCAGCATTCTCCTTTCTCCCTTCCCCTCTGGCATTCATCCTGCCCAGGACCAAATCACTTCAGAGCTGCATGACTACTCACAGCAGGTTTTTTTCTCCTGCATTTCAGGTGGCCCCTGAGACAAAAGCAGTCATGAAGTGGTTGAGGTCTATCCCGTTTGTGCTCTCTGCCAGCCTGCATGGGGGTGAACTTGTTGTGACCTATCCTTACGACTATTCAAGGCATCCTATGGAAGAAAAAATGTTCTCCCCTACACCTGATGAGAAGGTAATACTGGTTTTGCTGGGTGAGCATATCAGTATGGTTTCCACGTGTGGAACTATGCAAACTTTTTCTTTAAACAAGCAACAAATTTTGATTTATTTAGATTGCATACATGTGTGTATATGTATGAAATAAATGATAAATTACATGTTTATATATAATTTATGTATATATATGTGTTTTTACACTTATTTAATGTGCTTTAAAATATAGGTTCATTTACATGCTATCAGCTTGCTCTGTAAAGTTTTACATATGTTTTGTGAAGCCAAACATGATTTCACAAGGCACAGGTTAGGAAAAGACAAGCTTTTATTATTTAAAGGGTGAAGGCTATGAGATATTTACCACTCATTTCTAGAAGAAAAGGAACAAGTCTGACCAGCAGTGTTATTTTCTATTGAAATCTGTAGGGAGGGGGAAAAAAAGAAAAGGTTGGCTGCCATGTGGTGGCAGCCTTGTAACATTTATTCCAGGTCAGATGGGCGGGAATGGTTTTTCCCTGGAAAGTTCCCCATTTGGGAATCACTGTAAATCTTCTGTGAAATTTTTTGCCATCGTTCCTATTTCCCTTTGGTTTCTTCAATCTAGTATTCATTGCCGACATGCCCACTAGGAGAACAGCTAGTTTTTCTGCCTTCTAGCATATGTTTAATATGTCCCTGGTCTCTTAAGAAGAAGTGGTTCTTTATATACCAAACAACAGTTGAAAACAGTCAGAAGTGATCTTTGACTTGAAGCATCCATTATCTTTGAGCAAATCTCTGTGCTGACTTCTTCTAAAGTGACGGTTCTCATCAGCACCTATTAAATATTTAAATATTTATGAATATTAGACATCTATATCAGTCCATTTTTCTGAGATATATAATACCTACTGACTACATGTATGTGATGATTATTTAGCAGTAAAATAGAGCAAGCACTGCACAGTAAAAAGCCCATATAAGAGGTGACTGGTGGTTGCTAATGAAAGCTATAGAAGCTCTTGGTGAGGACTAAGGAGAAATCATAAACCTGTGCACTTATATCCCATTGCCTGGGCCAGGGCTATCCTGATTTACACGTGGATGGCACAGGAATATGGCCAGATGTGCCTTATTAAGCAGCTGACCTGAGGGGTGGAAGGACAGCAGTCCCTCCATCATCTCCAGTCAGGGACAGCACATGAGCTTTGAGTGAAACGATGCAGTCACACATACAAAGTGCTCCATCCCAATGCAGTGCACAGCTGGGCAAGCCGTAATGGCATCTCTGGTTCCTAACAATGGACGACACAGAACCTCACACCGGTGGCTGCTGCATGGTCAGTGGCTGCAAAGCCTGGGAAGATAGCTACAAACTTGGAAGTTTAAAACATACAGGGGAGGGGTGGGAATGTCAACAATTAAAACCAATTTTTCAAATGAGTCAGTAGAGGAACCTTAATAACACTACCAGTATCACTTTATATTTTGCCCAGAAAGTTATAAAACCTGTACCTGTGCAGTGACCTGCATTTATGTAATGTCATCTGCAGCTGCTGCTGCCAGGGAACCTGCATCCTATTTTCTTAATCTACTTGTTTTAGCTGCCGCACATTAGTTGTAACCCCTGTTCTGACCGCTGACCTGTCGAATTTGCTGTGCAAGGGGAAACGAAGCAAGTTTGCACCCTTGGCCACAGCCCAGGGTGAAATGCTGCAGTGCAGATAAAATGGCCAGAAATTAAAAAGACAAATTCTGTGAAGTACATTCAAACAAGGTTGCCCTGTTTGAAAATACATCTGCCACCTCCTTGTGTCCCTCATGATGTCTGTGTGGTAGCATGAGGACCCTTGTCAGCTGCTCCAAGACACCGTGGATTTCAAGCCTCTTTAGCCTGCATCACAGCCTGGGCTGGTACCTGCAGGGACCAAGGATTCTCAAAGCTGGACCATGTCCTTACACTGACATTCTTGCACCTGGTTCACCTCACCTAATCCAGAAATTTCCCATTGTTTGACTTTTGTGGAGATGTTTGTTTTTAGCAGGCTCTTGTTTTGTGTTACACAAGACGCTGCACTGATGCCAGTGTTCCCGGGAGCAGAAAGGTGTACACCAAGTCAGGTTCACTCCCTTTGGTGAACGGAAACACTCCCTTCCCTCCCACTGAAAAACCCTACCTGTGACAGTCAGTGGGGTACAAGTGCAGGCCAGGGTAACAGCACTGATCCCATTTTATTAAATGAAGCATCATGCTTTCAAAGTCACAAGGGTTCCTCTGTGGTTTTTTCCTTTTTTTGTTCCACTGTATTACAACTAAATGTCTACGTTTTTTTGAGGTCCATGACTAGTCATATCTCAGCTGCTAAGTGATAATAAATGTATTGCTATCCAAACACTTTTTAACCTTTTTTTTAAAAAAATTAACATTTCTTTTTTTTAAATCAAGTTCACTTGACTCTGGATTTCTCCTTTTCTTTACCCACTACCACACATCTTTTTTCACTTGTATTATTGGCCAGGTGAAAGCCTCTTAGTTTGAAACCAGAGGAAAGACTCGGTCCCTGGAAATAAAATATTTGCAGATGTCTTTGGGAAAGATGAAGAGGACAATCCTAAGTCACATAGTCACCTTCTAAACTTTTAGCAAATATCTTCCACAGAAGGCTCAGAACTGGCATCCAAATTCCTGTAGAAATGAAAGATATCGGGCCTGGTCCCAAACTATTGGCAATAAAAGTTCTTCTAAATATATTTAATTAACATCCATTTATTTCCAGCAGAACTTCGAAGGAGGTCTAATTGTTTGGACTGAGCAATACTTAGGCATACAGAAACTCAAGGGAGATGCAAAAGCATTTTATATTAAGTCAGGATTTTTAGTGTCTGGTCATCAGAAATATTTTAGTAAATGGTCTTTACACTTACATATCACTCTCCACCTTTCCTCAGTCACCTACTTGATTCCATAATTGACTCAGCTTTGTGATTGTTAGAAACATTGGTAAATATTAGATCAAAGTTGTGTGCCTTGGTCATTTTGGTCTTTATCCTTGATGACAACATCAAGGATAAAGTTTTAGGATCACTTCTTAAAACAGGATTTTAGCCACCCAAATTCATGCACATGTTGTCTTAAACTATGCAATTAAACTTATGATGTTAAATAATAGGACCTACTAGCATCTGATAATTGCTGTCATTTCAGTGTTGAAATCTGAAATCATAGCTTTTGTAGATGAGGTTCAAATAGACAAAAAGGAGACTGGGTAGAATAAACACTGGAGAAAAATGGCAGGAACCTGATTCAAAGAAATGGTTTCTGCAGATCACTGCTGTTTCTTCTGTCTTCACTACGTGTACCTGTCACTTTTCCTTTCTGAGTGATGACTCCTCTGCTCTTCATCAGTATCAACACTCAAGAAATCAGTGGTGACATCCTCCATCACCACATCCTATCCTTCGCTTTTTAGGAATGGTTTCTGCCCCACAAAGAAGCAACTGTCATCGAGATCAAGCTGGCAGGTTGTCCTGTGTGAGTGACAAGTGCGAAGCAAATTGACACTGTCTATTTCAAACAGCAGCAGCCGCCAATGCAAAGATCTGGTTGGGCTGAGGCTACTGTAGGTATTTTTGTAAGGGTAAAAATAGAGTTAAAATCATAGAATCACTAAGGTTGGAAGAGACCTATTAGATCATCTAGTCTAACCATCAACCCAACACTACCATACCCACTAGACCATGTCCTCAAGCGCCACATCTACACGTTCCTTGAACACCTCCAGGGATGGTGACTCCACCACTTCCCTGGGCAGTCTGTTCCAATGCCTGACCATTCTATGTGTGAAGAATTTTTTCCTGATATCTAAGCTAAACTAAAATATAACAGGAGGGCTAATTTCAGCTTCAAAACCTTGAAGTACAACCAAACAAGTCCTCTAGTTCTGTCCCAAGTGGTAAGTTGAAGCCAAGTTTCACAAAATCCACTGGTATTTAATGTAATCTCAAGCTAAATATATTGGATTGCAGAGAAGGACCTTGGAGAGGAAGACAAGTGAAAACTTCCTAGCAGAATATCCTTGCACAGAGGTTTGTGCCCTCCCTCAGCCTCAAGGATGCAGGGTGGCTTATTGTCTGGGTTCACAACAGCGATAGTTACTAGCAACAATCACAGTATTCACAGTTTGTAAAAGCAAATCTATTTCAAACCCTTTTGTTACAGATGTTTAAAATGCTGGCTAAAGCCTATGCAGATGCACATCCAGTCATCTCGGACCGATCCGAACTTCGTTGCGGTGGAAATTTTGTAAAACGCGGAGGTATTATAAATGGTGCTGAGTGGTACAGCTTCACTGGAGGTAAAACCACTTTACCATCATATCAAGTGAGGTAAAACCTCTATATGACCTTTATGAGACACCAGGGTTTGAAAGAAATAATTTTATTCATTTCAATTTGCTTTAGGTCAGACCCCTGCAAAAGGTAAATTGTAAGGGATTTAAGTAGCAAAATGCATGTTGGTAACATTTATATTCATATACCATGGGATGTATTCAGCCCTGATATGGCCTAAGAGAAGTTAACAAGTTATACAAAGGTCAAATTTGTCATTGCATAGAATATCATTCTAGTGTTAAAATCTTAAATGTAGAAATAAATTTTTAATGCTATGCTCTCGTTCCTTAGCAGCATGATTTTGAATCAATCCTGCTGACTAGGCAATTGCAGTTTAAATAAACTCTTTTCAGAAAAAAGCAACAACAGGGACAAACATCCCATTCATTTGTGCTTATTTAATTTTCCTCATAATAGTATTTAGTTTTCTTCAGATTCCTGAAATACTGGCATGGATAAAATACCAGTGTCCATAAAATTTTCAGCAGTGCTTTGTTCTGTTTTCAAATAGGACGTAGTTGGACCCCCAAATATTTATGTTGAAACTAAGCATTAAGAAAGCTTTGGAACATGAGTGAGAATTAAATTTAAATATCTTGGGCTTACATTCTTCTGAAAATTATATCCAGTGCCTTTTGCGGAGAAACAGTTTTGAACATACTAATGGCAAAAGGTCATTTCTTTGCTGGTGACCCTTGGCAATCACCTCTGATACAACTGATTATCCAGTTATTATGATTAACTAATCCTTATCTCTCTATCACTACTTCTTCGTCAGGTGAATAATAACTTTAAATGATGATTTTTACCTGAAAGAAGTGCCATTGTCATCGGTTAATTCATTGCTGAAATGAGCTGTAGTGTTCTGAACTTGCTGGATACTTTTTATGTGTTGGCTATGCACACACTTTACAACATATTAATCCACACCCATGAGGATTTCATTCAGATACCTGCAACAGCAAAATTCTAGTTGAGGGTTACATGACTTGTTAATGATCCCTCCTTTTTCTTCTTTAACCCTGTAGGTATGGCAGACTTTAATTACCTTCACACAAATTGCTTCGAAGTTACTGTGGAGGTAGGATGCGAAAAGTTTCCTTTGGAGGAAGAACTGTTTACAATCTGGCATGAAAACAGAGATGCCCTTCTGAATTACATGGAAATGGTATGGCTCTGCTTTTACAGACCTTCATGCTTACGTTTTTTCTTCTTCATTCTTTGTCAATGTTCATTTCCTTACTGTTTTCCCTGGTCAGTTATTGAGATAACACCAAATTAATCATCACACTCCACCGTGGACTCTGGTGTTTGTCTCGCAGTTTGTCTCGCAGGACATATTTTGCTTTTCTTGCAGGAAGGATGGAGATTGAGGAATGTAAAGGCCTTGAAAACAGTGAAAAAACTGTCTGCAAATATTTGTGCAACATAACTGTCCAAAATGTAATGCTAGAGAAAACCCACATATTCAGAAAAATATGAATCATAGAATCATTTAGCTTGGAAAAGACCTTTAAGATCAGCCTTCCTCTGGAAGAATAAACTAAGAAGATCTGCTTTCCAGAGATGATCTTGGAAGTTTTTCCTTTTCATATTCCATGTTTATGGCCCAAACCCTACTGCATGGCAACAGATTTAGATTCAGCTGAAATGGGGATGTTCTAAGTATCTTGCTAGAAATACTGTTTCCACACTTTTTGGCTTTATTTCTAGATCAAAGTAGTTAAAGACGATCTGAAGCCTGATCTTTTAAAGAAACAACTGTGTGCTGTAAGCGCTAAATATGCCATTTGAAAGTCATTTTTAATAATAAGTTTAAGCTCAGCAAAAACAAATACCTCACTGACAATAAGTAAGTGAACACAGAAACAGAAGTTGCTCATCTATCTCTCAGCCATTAGTAGATTAGCTTTCTGTCATGCCTTATTTTGATGTAGTATGCAGTAATTTAAAATTGTTAGGAGTGTTTTTATGGCCTTTCTAAGCAACCTCTTGCTACTTGTGGTAAGTATTATCATTCAATAAAGTCTACAGTACAGACCACCAAACTCATTTCATTTTACAGCTGTCTGATGAAAATGAGTTTTAGTGAATCCAAATGGAGCTGGGTTAAATCCATATATATTGCAGTTGAAGTCTTCAAGATGTAAAGATTTTTATAGTGTGAGATACTGTAGAAGTCTATGCCGGAAAAGCTTTTTGAGTAAATGCAGGACAGTAAGCAAAACAACTTGTAGATAAGGTTGACCAAATTACTCCCGATAAGGATTAAGTCTGCCATAACCAATTCAAACTTTTCTTATTCTGATATACACCAGACTGTTTGGTGTGTGTACAAATCTACTTGGTTTAAGACGCAGAATTCATTTTCATGAAGGGCGATCTCTTCTTCCCATCAGAAGTGGTATCAAAACAATCTCCCAAAGTTATGTGACACAGACTTGAGGAAAAACCAGAAATAGTATATTTACTAAAGCAAAACAGATCAACATTGTTAAAGAAATTTCAATATTGTCATTTTTATCCAGTCATGTTGTAATTGCAGAATTATTATGGAAGTTGGATGAGGTCATACTGCTTTGAGTATGTCTACACTGTAAATTAAATTTGAGTCTGAGATGAGTCTTCTGACCAGATTTACCCACTATCCATATGATAAATCCTCAAGTTCATGCTGAAAAGCAAATTGCAGTGCTTCATCATAATAGTTCATAAGGGACAGTTTTCAAGTCCTTATACTGAGTTGTTCCTAAGCCCTCCAGTGAATAGCTCCGCTCAGTACAGAACAGCTATACAAGCAGGCAACACAGCTCACCTGAAATAAAAAACTGTTGTCACAAGACCAGACTTTTTTTTTTGCAGCTTCCTATCAAGAATTACTGTAAAACTGGATATTTTAATGTTTATTTTTAAATATCCCTATGTTCCAATAGAAAAGCAAATATATTTTTTCCATTGTTTTGATGCTTTGGTCTTTGTTTCTGTTCTTCTTTTGTGACAAAGTATAATGGGGAGGGAAAAATGAGAGCAAGAGAAAGAAGGGTGAGGGGAAGTGAAGTAAAGAACATCTCAGCAGATCATAGCAGTTCAGGGGAAAAATTCAAATGGCATTACTTTTCAATTAAAAAGCTCATACAGAATTTCCAATAGAATATGTTTTTATTTTGGAAAGTTAAAAAGAAAATAGTAAGAGGTTTATTGTTTAAATACTTGGATTTTTTCGTGGGTTTTTTTTTATTTGAACTTCAAATATAGTGTGCTGTTTGTGTACCTCCTTGTTTGACAGAGTTCTCATCATTCTTTAGTTCATCACCAAGCACATTTCTTGTCAGCTCAAGCAGCTGTGTTCTGAACTTGTAGAGAAGGGGAAAAAAGATATTATACACACTGCTATGATGACATTTTGACATGCAGTGAAGTGTAAGCAGCAGAGCGATGATGAGTCCTAAGTAGCTAAAGAATCCCCTCGCCTACTCCTGTTCACTGATATTAAATAAGAATATTTTAAAATTAATAGTTTTATTACATATTATGCATTGACTCATGCAGCAGTCTATTTGACAATTATTAACAAATACTATGGTAAAGATTGTACATTAAATAATACTAATGTAGAAGTATCCATCTTGGTCTTATTTTATTCTTATACTTTTGCTCTACATTAAACTAGTAACAGGTTTTCTATTGCAGGACATCTGTTTGGTTTTGGGATCCTTTTAGATACAGTGAAAGAAATTGAAAACTGTGTATTTTAACTGATACTGAAGACCTGGTTTCTTTATAGAACCTGCATTAATTGATTCTACTGCCAGGATGGCAACATACTGTTTCATAAGCGGTACTGTCTGAAAGCTAATAATTCTGCTTGATTGTGATTTATTTCACACATCTTTTAGTGCTGTTTCATGCTGAATTAACTTCACTTATAGCACCAGTGATGCCTTCCCATTGTGTATAGAGCATCAGGTTGTTTTTTTAAAGCTTAACATTTCATTTCTTTGTGGTTCTGGGTCTTGGGCAGATGCTCAGAAACAGTCTTTAAAAAATAGTGAGATCATGAAGTGCCGGTGGTCTGTGCAGAGAAGTGTTGCTCAATGCACAGCCACATACCTAGCCGAAAAAAGCTCTTGTTCAGTTATCCATTTTCCTCAGTCCCCTTGGAGGTCCCAAAACAACAGAGGATGTGATCTGAAGGAGCATTAGCGCCCATGAGCCTCTATAATGGTTTGAATCTCTTGAAGGCTGTTTCTTCTCCACAGGATTTTCCTTGTAGAAAATGAGGTGATAGTACTATAATAAATGATTCCATCTAACTTTGCTTTGCCAGGTTCATCGGGGGATAAAAGGAATTGTGTCTGATAAGTTTGGCAACCCAATAAAAAATGCTCGTATCTCAGTCAGAGGCATCCAGCATGATGTCACTACAGGTAATATTTTTCATTTGAGCTTTTTCCTGGGGCAGGATGAAAGCACTTGGAGCTTAACCTGCAAAAGTCTTGTTGTATTTGATAGAAATAACACCTTAATGGAGAACTGAAGGCTCAGCTGTGGGTTTGTTTCTGGAATAACAAGAGAGAAGACATGTCAAACTGGCCATTGAGTCTGTTGTGTCTCTGGGATGACATAGTCTTTGCTGTTTAAACTTCCACCTGGAATAGTCTGCTGTCTATCAAAGCCAATGAGTCTTCAATGAGATTCAGAAATCCATCTTCCTGTTTTGGGGAATATGGCAATATCCCTGCTCAGGGGCTGTAACAGTATGTGAAGGTGCAAAGCCCTGATAAAATAAGTTAGTTGAAATATTGTGGGCATGAGGTGTAGACATGAGAGTACGATCCACATTGACTTTAACAATTGAAATAACTGCGGTGATTGAAGGGCCCGCAACTTTTTTTGTTCATGTGGAAAAGCATGAACACGTGCAATTTTTTGTCAATAATTATATCTAATGGAAAAAACCTAGAACATTGAATTATGTTCACTTTATACCTGTCTCCAGCTGGTAAACATGTATTGAGGCATATGCAACTGTTAATTTTCACAGTCATAAAGTTCTGAGCTTTTAGGCTCTCACTGAAATCAATGCTCTCATTTTATTATTGATTTCAGTGAGAACAGGGTAGGCCATAGGAGTGCAAAATAGAAGACGTGAATGGTAACATTTTGCTCTAATGATAGTTGTTGAATCAATTTGGAAAGCCAGAATGGTTTATAATGTAGTGGATGCTTTCCAGCTTTCAAAAAAAAAATAACATTAGAGGGGATACAATAGTGGAAATGATGCAGATTCTTGAGGCTGGTGGGAGACTCTGGCATGAATTAGGGTCTTTTTCAAATTTCTTCCCAGACAATGGCTTTCCATTGGCAGTAGACCTTTAAAGAATTAAGAATTAAATAAAAAATGTGTTTACATTGAAGGAAAAAGGAGTATTTGTTCTTGAGTTAGGCGGGGTTAAGAATGTCACATGATTGAAATGTCTTTTAAATTCAGTGTTTAAAAAGACCGAGGAATTCCATGAAAAAATAGCATTAACGTAACATTAACTGAGTTGAGAAACTTACCATTCAAAATAAGGGAAATATAAAATGAAGATTAAATATTCTGTTTTAAAACTCCCTGCTTTTGCCTGCAGGCTCTAACCTTCAGCTGGAGGAAATTTACACCCATTTTACACTAATGGCAATTTATACCAGCTGCAGCACTGACTCCATAGTCTTATGTGCTATAATGTTTGCAAAGTAATTGAATGTAATATAATAAAAGAAGGGATTTCTTAGCTCCTTAGACATGCTATATATATATATGTATATATATTGCAGCCTGGATTCTGCTTTCACTTTCTTAAGTTTCACACAAATTCATTTGATTTCTTTGGAGTTATTCCTTGTACCCCTGGGAAAGCAGCATGAAGGAAAGCTTCCCTTCCCTGTGATACAGGCTCAGCAGGTATTGACATTTTGTATGTCAGTTTTACTCCATGTGCTCCCAAAGGCCAGATTTTCACAGGTGGAGCCTCTTTTTTGTCATTCAAGTGTTTGCATCTGAATTTTTTTCAAAATTGGAGTTGCCCCAACTCTGAGATCCTTTGGAAACCTGTCCCTTAAATGCTTGTGCATGCATGTGAGTGTGTTACTGTAAAGGATACAAGATGAAAAACTAAGCTCAGTTTTGTGGTGCCTTTACCTTTCCTAAGCTGCTGATGGAGACTACTGGCGACTCCTGCCTCCGGGGACGTACATAATCAGTGCCCAGGCGGCGGGATACAGCCGGGTGATGAAGAGGGTCACCCTTCCTGCCAAGATGAAACAGGCCGGGCGTGTCGACTTTGTGTTGCGACCTGTTGAGGCTTGGCCCAGCAAGCTCCGGCGGTCCATGGAAGACGCATACGACCCATACGACCCGCTGGAACTTTTTGACCCTCATGCCCAACATGGGCAGACCGAGGCTCGAGGAGGGTCACCGCCAGGCAGAGAGAAGCCCTGGTGGTGGTCTTACTTCAGCTCTCTAGACCTGCACAAACCTCTGTGGCTGCTCAAGCAACACTGAACAGCATCACGGTGCTCTGCTCACCTCACTCTGCTGCCCTTCCACCCCGCTCCAGACGCCCCCACTGCTCTTGGCAATATTTAAATCTGTTTCGTTTGAAAATGCAATGTTAATTCAAGCGTGCTTCCTTCCTTTGTTTTCTCCTCACGCACAACTGAGTGTGTTCAAGTGTTTTTATATATTAAAACCAATGGTGCACTCCTGTTCAAAGGCCAGGTTTTACGTATTTTTTTTTGTGGTTATGCTCTGTACTTCTGCCTATGTAGTTAATCATCACATTCATTATTTATTAGATTCTAAGTACCTGCAGAAAGATATTCCTGATCCTTTAATGCATTTTTGTACATGTTGTAACATATTAATATCTATATACTAAAAACAACTTTCAGAAACATTCAGAAAATATTTTTCCTCTTTTAGTATTAACATATTAAGTTCAGTTCATTAACTCTTCTAATACATCTGATAAGGATTTTTTAAAATCCATTATGTTATATTAGCATTGATTTCAGACAGAAAAATAAAATAATTAAGAATTGGAAAATATATCTGTATCTGAATAAGTTACATGTTCAGTAGAATGGGCTGCTCATAGGCAGGTCAGTATCAATGAGGGATCATTCAGTAATAATGTCTTTTCCCAAGTGAAGTTTCAGAAGTTATCCTTTGAAGACATATGTATTAAAAGTGTTAAATTCTTACAACCTTCTTCCTTTGAAATCTCTTGCACTATGAGTAGGACCGTCAAATCAAGAAAAATGCTTGGCAAGTAAACTCTGTTCCAAGCAGTCTGAATATTCAATGTTTATCCTATTTAAGTGTTAATGTATTTTGAAGGTTTTTAATCTGTTAAGCAAAACAGATTTTTAATGTATTTCAGGAAAATGCTGAAAAATATTGTACTGCTGGAAATACATACATCCTATGATGCAGAAAAATATATGAGATAGTTCCTGAGGAATTTAGGTTAAAATGTGACATATTACTCTAAAGTGTTAAATCATGCACTGTTTGGAGTCCATGTGCTTGTTAATGGAATTTGTAGACATCAAAGAAATCATGAACTTTTTTCTAAGATAGTTGTGTAAAGCTAGGTGATTAGCAGTTTTGCAAGATACTGTCTTCTTTCAGACATCAGATGTAATGTTTCTGGTGGAGGATTCAAAAACTATCCTTAATTTTGATGAAACACATAGACACACACTTCATTTTTGCTTGAACTGGTTAATGAACACTATATAATCATAGTATTTCCTCATTTAAATGCTTCAGTATTAGAATAGGGTGATTGTTTGGAGCTGATGTTCTTACTGTAAGAACTGATGGATTAGCTGTCTGGATTGCCCTCTGATGTCTAAAAATTTTTTTACTCATCTTTGGTAACGAAGCCCACATCGCATGAATCCTATAGTCCATGTGCACTACAGGCCTGCCAGTCTGACCTTGGTGCCAGGGAAGGTTATGGAGCAGATCTTGAGTGCCATCAGGCAGCACGCACAGGACGACCCAGGGAGCAGGCCCAGTCAGGATGGGTTTATGAAATGCAGGTCCTGCTTGACTAACTTCATCTCCTTCTATGACAAGATGCCCTGCTTAGTGGGTGAGAGAAAGGCTGTGAATGTTATCTACATAGACTTTGGTAAAACCTTTGACACTGTTTCCCACAGCAAAAAGCTTTCCCACAGCCACAGTTTTTCCCTGGAGAAACTGGCTTCTCATGGCTTGGACAGCTGTACTCTATGCTGGGTAAAACACTGGCTGAATGGCCAGGCCCACAGAGTGGTGGTGAATGGAGTTAAATCCACTTGGTGACTAGTCACAAGTGGTGTTCCCCAGGGATCAGTACGGGGGCCAGTTCTCTTTAACATCTTTATCAATTACCTAGGTGACGGGATTGAGTGCACCTTCAGCAACCTTGCAGATGACACCATGTTGGGCAGGAGTGTTGATCTGCCTGAGGGTAGGAAAGCTCTACAGAGGGATCTGGACAGACTGGATCGAGGGGCTGAGGCCAGTTGTATGAGGTTCAACAAGGCCAAGAGCCAGGTCCTTCACCTGAGTCACAACAACCCCCTGCAATGTTACAGGCTGGGGGGGGGGGACAAGTGGCTGGAAAGCTGCCCAGCAGAAAAGGGCCGGGGGGTGTTGGTCGAAGGCTGGCTGAACATGAGCCAGCAGTGTGCCCAGGTGGCTAAGAACGCCAATGGCATCCTGGCCTGCATCAGGAACAGTGTGGCCAGCAGGATTAGAGAAATGCTCATCCTCCTGTACTGGGTACTGTTGAGGCTACACCGCAAATCCTGTGTTCAGTTTTGGGTCCCTCACTACAAGAAAGACATGGAGGTGTTGGAGCATGTCCAGAGAAGGGCAACGGAGCTGGGCAAGGGTCTGGAGCACAAGTCCTATGAGGAGCGGCTGAGGGAGCTGGGGGGGTTTAGCCGTGAGAAAAGGAGGCTCAGGGGAGATCTTATCGCTCTCCACAACTACCTGAAAGGAAGTTGCAGAGAGGAGGGTATCAGTCTCTTCTCGCAAGTAACAAGTGATAGGACAAGAGGAAACGGCCTCAAGTTGCACCAAGGGAGGTTTAAATTGCATCTTATGAAATAGTTCTTCATGGAAAGGGTTATCAAGCACTGGAACAGGCTGCCCAGGGAACTGGTTGAATCACCATCCCTGAAGGTATTTAGAAGACATGTAGGTGTGGTGATTAGACACATGATTTAGTGGTGGACTTGGAAGTTCTAGGTTAACAGTTGGACTTGATGATCTTAAAGGTCTTTTCCAACTGAAACAATTCTGTGATTCTATGATCTCATACTATAATTGCCTAAGAAGACCCAAGAGATGAATGATTCTAATTCTGCAACCAGATGCTGCACATGCCTAAGTACCTTATTCCCAGTTGTAATCTGATTGAAGTTAGGAGTCTGTTATTCATGTGCTTGAATGTCTGCAGGACTGGAGTCTGTAAAAATGAAAGAAAACAATTTCATAGCATTAACAAAAAGTGATTATATGAGGGTGAATGTACTGCATGCACATGGATAAGTGTTCCTTGCCCAGGCTTGCCAAGTTAAATAAACTATGAATCCTAAATTTGTCCAAGATAAGCTGCCAAGAGATACACCTCCAGACTTTATTTCCAGTAATACACATTACTACTGTATTCTGTGGTAATTTTTTTATGAAACTGCCATCCTGTGAAAACAATGGTAAAGCTAACAAAATCAGAACAATATGCCAAATTGCTAGCTATTAGCTGCTCTTTTCATGCACATAATGTCTTGCACACTTAGAAAGATGCTTTCTATAAGCATTTCCTGCATTCTCACAGGGCTATTTAGAATTTTTTCAAGTAATCATAGTAAACCCAAGCCTGCTGAAATGCAAAACAGAATGACTGTGCAGAAAATCCACTTTCCTGGAGTCCTGAGTTAAAATAGCAGATGGCAGTCAAAGCTGGGGAAAGATGATTTTCTGGGAAGACTGAAAATGTGTTATGTTTGAGAGAGCTCAAAAAACTGGTATGCTGTATTACTATACTACTAATGTGAAATATGTATCATAGTGCAAGGGTAGCCTCCCAAGGTCTCTACCTCATCCACAAAAAGAGGTGTCCAGCAGAGAGAAAGTAAAGACACCTGCTAGTTCATAAACAGCAGCCTGCATAGATGGGATGTATTAAAGCGCATTGAAGAACGGTCAGGCTCTTGGGAAAAGGTATGCCTCGGTCTTCTGGAACTAGTTTGGTTTTTTGTAAGATAAAATGTTCAGTTTTCAGTTCCATGGAGGTGGAAAAGACTGCCAAATCTTCTGGGTGGCTCTCAAAAATACATTTGACTTTAGGTTAGATTTAGGACATGTTTATTGGTGTTTTAAGGGAGAGGAGAGGAGAGGA